GACAGTACTACAGGGTATTAGAATGACATTACATTTTTCTGTGTTAGGGAGGAGTAAACCACCAGCAACACTCTCAAAACCAGACCGGCCTGATGAATATAGTGCTACTGCATCTCCACGGCCAGGTTGGTATATGGACGTGTATACATGCTGACTCTACTGTAAGAATATGCCTGTTCCTGATCAGTGTTATTGTTTTTCACCAATTCCATTCACTTCAGTGAGGGTTCCTTTGCCAGTACCTCCAGAGTTGCTTGAATTATCTACAAACAAGACCACATCGCCTTTGAGACCAGTGCAGGAAACTGTGTTCTGTCAGTGTAAGGGCTTAATGTAACATAATTTTACTTAATCAAATTTAAAACAGATTTAACAGGTTTAACAAATGTAATGCTCATCTATGACTAATGTCACCCATGTCATCCTGCAGCCCTCCTCCCAGTGACCTCTGCACAGTCTACAGCCTCTACTCCTCCCTCAGGACCCCCCGCAGTTGCTGGCCAGTCTTTTTCTGGACTCCCTGCAGCCTCTACTGGGTACCCCTCAACTCAGTTGGAGGAGAAGCATGCTGTTCCACCACTGCCAAGCTATGAGCAGGATGTGATAAGATGGCACTGCTCTCAAAAGCAGAGAATCTGGATGAAAACAGATATGGAAGCCTTGGGACTGTGGCCAGGTTCTAGACCAGTGAGACATCCAATGAACATGATCTCCTTGTGGCGTTACCCACCTCAGCCTGAGCTTATTGATGCTGTCTATGAGCTGCCATCACCGAAATACTTTCAACTTCATCCATTCTTCATTTGGAAACCAGAGCACACCATTATGGAAAGAGTCCGCAACAACTACACTCTGCCATGTCTGTACGGCTGTCCAAATCCCCACGTTGTCTCATCAGGAGTTGGACGACCCCGTGTCATTATTGGTACAAGCAGCCAGTACTACATACTGGCCTCTCGGCTCAGCTGTAAAGGCTGTAAAAAGTACTGGTTTGCAGACAAACCCCAATGGATGGACATGCTGCCAAGTCGGTTCTGCAACATTTTGCCAGCTTTTCTGACACACAAGAAGGCCATATGTAAGACTGTAATGGATGAGTTGCGGCACACAGCAAAGTCTCCCAATGATATGGCCAATCAGTTGAATGAAGCTCTCCACCTGAAGTATGAGCGTGCACACCTGGCTTACCTGTCCACTGTTAAGAATGTGCTGGATGGAGACGGTGGACTTTATGGTCAGCAGACCATCACAGGGGCACTAAGAGCAACAAATACTCACACACACACACACACACACACACAAACAAACAATATTTATTGTGGTTGCTATATCCATCTTTTTCTAAAAGCACACCCATATGTATGTGAACTCAGGTTATTGCTGTAAAAGAGCTTAATGTTCAGTCAATTTTCCCTGAATAAACAACAGTTGATATTTATAAATATTCCATCCTTTAATACCAATCTTTGTTTTGTTATTTTTTCATAGAAGTGGAGGAGGGTGAAGAATTGGGGAGGATGATGCTACCCACATATTCATCTAAAATTCCAGGCCAACTGAGTGAGAACCATATACATGGCACATACATGCTCAAACACACATACACTTCAGTCCTCTATATGCGACATCGGGTCCCTAATGAACGAATAACTGAAAATATGGGATACCCAGAATAATCAAATATCTAAATTAATACATAACCAATTGTTAGGATTAATTCCTCATTAGAAACTATCGAAATGTAATAACCATTTGAAATTGGAGCCAGATTAAGTGCGCAGCTAAAGTAAAATTGAAACTAAATTCTAAAAATTAAGTGAACTTCACTGGGGTGCTGAAAAGACATACACGCATTATACCTTCGCCCAGGCCATTGGATTCCGTCGTTGGGCCGACGGGTTGTGATCCTTACACATTTTTATTCAGCGTTAAGATGGCCAAAGGTCCTACTCTGACTGCACATCGGGGATGATTCTGACATCAATCAGGATTATCCATCCAACACACTGACAAATCACTGTTTGTTTATTAGGATCGTTAACAGGATCAGGCCTGTTCTAATGCCCGTAAATTGTTATATTAACAGTAAAGGCTTTTATATGTCATTCTGTCTGTTTATGTTATAAGTGCTTGAAAGTAAAATGATCTTCACTATGCTTTCAGGTTCAGACGTTGTTGGAGTCCCAGTGGTCAAAGGTCTTATTCCTACTGCATACTAGGGATGATTCTGACATGAATCAGGATTATCTGTTCTACATTGATTTGTTGCTGTTTGTTGGTTAGGCCACGTTCAGGCCTGTTCTAATTCGTGTGTTCAATTGTTCTACTAACATTGAAGGCATTTATATCTCATCATTGATGGTAAGTACAGAGTTCTTGTTTTGCATGTTTTTTCCATGCTAGACTTTAAAGGTTTGGTATGTACATGATTTATAGAGTAAAATATGTAAATCTCCAAAATGCAGAAGTACAGCAAAATAACAAATATGTATTCATTTGGACTAGAATGGTGCATCCCATTTGATACATGAAGCTGTAGATTAGTCATGTAATGTAGACACATTAGCATACCACACCCCTAATATTATAAAGAGTCTTGACATGTGTTCGATGGGTCTGCATGCATTTACATGACTATTTATTAACACATTTAATAAGGGACAGTACTACAGGCTATTAGAATGACATTACATTTTTCTGTGTTAGGGAGGCGTAAACCACCAGCAACACTCTCAAAACCAGACCGGCCTGATGAATATAGTGCTACTGCATCTCCACGGCCAGGTTGGTATATGGACGTGTACACATGCCGACTCTACTGTAAGAATATGCCTGTTCCTGATCAGTGTTATTGTTTTTCACCAATTCCATTCACTCCAGTGAGGGTTCCTTTGCCAGTACCTCCAGAGTTGCTTGAATTATCTACAAGCAAGACCACATCGCCTTTGAGACCAGTGCAGGAAACTGTGTTCTGTCAGTGTAAGGGCTTAATGTAACATAATTTTACTTAATCAAATTTAAAACAGATTTAACAGGTTTAACAAATGTAATGCTCATCTATGACTAATGTCACCCATGTCATCCTGCAGCCCTCCTCCCAGTGACCTCTGCACAGTCTACAGCCTCTACTCCTCCCTCAGGACCCCCCGCAGTTGCTGGCCAGTCTTTCTCTGGATTCCCTGCAGCCACTACTGGGTACCCCTCAACTCAGTTGGAGGAGAAGCATGCTGTTCCACCACTGCCAAGCTATGAGCAGGATGTGATAAGATGGCACTGCTCTCAAAAGCAGAGAATCTGGATGAAAACAGATATGGAAGCCTTGGGACTGTGGCCAGGTTCTAGACCAGTGAGACATCCAATGAACATGATCTCCTTGTGGCGTTACCCACCTCAGCCTGAGCTTATTGATGTGGTCTATGAGCTGCCATCACCTAAATACTTTCAACTTCATCCATTCTTCATTTGGAAACCAGAGCACACCATTATGGAAAGAGTCCGCAACAACTACACTCTTCCATGTCTGTACGGCTGTCCGAATCCCCACGTTGTCTCATCAGGAGTTGGACGACCCCATGTCATTATTGGTACAAGCAGCCGGTACTACATACTGGCCTCTCGGCTAAGCTGTAAAGGCTGTAAAAAGTACTGGTTTGCAGACAAACCATAGGCAGGAGAGCACACTCAATCTGCTCCTCCAAGGCATGTTTGAACAAGCATTAAGGGCTGACCATACCCGCAAGGTGGCCCGGAAGGTTGTGCTTGCATCAGGTACTATGTCGTCCTACGCTGTGATGAATGAAAACTGGATGATCTTGTCCTGGGTAATGCTGCAGTCTGAAAGTGATAAATCACTGCAGCCAATGTATGAGGGGCTGTCTCGTCGTTACATTTTCGCATGTCTGCCAAAAGCCAACTACCAGTGGGTTGACAGGTAAGAACCAGCTGTCACATTTTCCTTCCCACCTATATTATATTTGTAAAGTAAACAAAATATAGTATAGCAAATACATGCATCCGATGTATTTGAATGTTTAATATTTTAAATATACTTCTCTTTGTGTGTGGAACAGAGATTGCTGTGCTGCCTTCAGGATCCCAAACCCTGAGCCCCAGGAGCACCTCCTCTGGGATTCTTGGAAAACCACTGGTGCTATAGTGGCTGCGGCAACCTCTGGGCATCTCATCAACACCTGTGCCTCCCGCAAAGAATATAACAGTGACATCAACATCAAGCTGGACTTGTTCCACTGCATGCGGCGGTTCGCCAGAGAGTGTCAGAGCACCATCCACTGCACAGTGTTTTCTGCAAGTTTCTGTCAGCAGTTTTTAGTGTTGTGGACCAGACGGACCTACAGAGACTGAAGCAGGCTTATGTTTTCTGTGGGATAGTGCCTGCAAATCCAACAAAGCAGTGCCTCCCGCAAAGAATATAACAGTGACATCAACATCAAGCTGGACTTGTTCCATTGCATGCGGCGGTTCTCCAGAGAGTGTGTGTCAGAGCACCATCCACTGCACAGTGCTTTCTGCAAGTTTCTGTCAGCAGCTTTTAGTGTTGTGGACCAGACGGACCTACAGAGGCTGAAGCAGGCTTATGTTTTCTGTGGGATAGTGCCTGCAAATACAACAAAGCAGCACATCAGGGAGCACTGCTGCACCAGGGTCCCACACCCCAAAGAGCTGCTGGAGAGTGTGGAGAGTGTTCTCCAAAGATTCTTTTTAGAATGCGATCCTGATGGTGTGCCACTGTTCAAACCACATTGAAGGTGTGGAGGATTCAGCGAGTCCACATCCTCAGAGGCTGCCTGAGTGACCCAGGGGTTACAGAGGGGATCCTCTATAGGCATGGTGGAACGGTCTAGCTGAACCCTGTGAAGGCAGCTGCTTTACCCGTGTGGATCCCTGTGAGAGGCACCTCTCAGCAGGAGGGGTTCCATTTCCATCAGGCGAGATGGGTCACAGGCACTCAGGTATCCACAGAACTTTTCCAAGCGCAGGGCATGATTGGAGTGGCTCCCTGGGATTTTCAGCGCCCTGTGGCCTTACTTGTTTCACAGACAGACACCAAAGAAAGGTTTGGACTGCAGTATGTGGAGCCTGGTTGTCGTCCTGTCCCCTTGGACTGGAACAAGCACAAGTCCCAGAAGGTACCTGTTGCAGGGGAAGGAGAACATCAGTCCTCAGAGCCGTCTGCTCTCAGTGAGAGATTCCCACCTGATGACCCACCTGAGGAGGTGAGGGAGGAAAACTTTGCTCAGGTAAACTTGACTATTGTACTTACAAATATCCTCACACTCACTAAAACACAAAATGTACACTACCGGTCAAACGTTTTTGGATGGTAAGATTTTTAAAAATGTTTTTAAAAGAAGTCTCTTCTGCTCACCAAGGCTTCATTTATTTACAGCAAAAACAGTAATCTTGTGAAATATTTTTGTCAAGTCAAGTCAAGTCACCTTTATTTATATAGCGCTTTTAACGATACAGATTGTGTCAAAGCAACTGAACAGCATTAATTAGGAAAATAGTGTGTCAATAATGCAAAATGGCAACAGTAAACACTAATTTTTCAGTTAAAGACAGTTCATCATTGAATTCAGTGATGTCATCATCCAGCTTTAGTTTAAATAGTATCTTTGCAAATACGTACTGGATCCGGGTGACTGCAGTGACCATCTGATCTGGATACAGACTGGATCTGGTGGCTACGGTGACCTCGGAATAAGAGAGAAACAGACTAATATTAGCGTAGATGCCATTCTTCTAACAATGTAGCAAGTACCTTGGGTGTTATGAGAAGTTTTCCCGGTTCCGGTTGACCTAATTAATGCAGCCTAAAAATCCTTTAACGGATTTGAATATTAGAAGCGTGTTAGTGTGTTATGTGTAAGCCAGGTTAAATAGATGGGTCTTTAATCTAGATTTAAACTGCAAGAGTGTGTCTGCCTCCCGAGCAATGTTAGGTAGGTTATTCCAGAGTTTGGGTGCTAAATAGTCAAGTCAAGTTTATTTGTACAGCACTTTTCACCATACCAATCATTGCAAAGCAACTTTACAGCAAATTAAGTTTCTACAATATTTAGTGGTAGCTTATCAGTGGTGACTGTCAGTTAATGTACATATGGCAGAAATGTAGGGAAAAATCAATTTAAGACGTAATAAAACAGACGATGAACACTATTAACA